AMYTKTTWTTTTTGGTATTTMATCGGAAGAAGTTGGTCGAACAGCAAGATATGACTATGAAAACCTCGGGTAAAAATACCTAGACCAAAAGCATGAAGGAAATCCGTAGTTTTACGGRTAATAAATAGCATACTTTTCATTTTCTTGYCTAGGTATTCACAAGAAAYTCAGCCTACTTCTCGCTTTGTTTTAGTCATTTTTCATGTACTCACCGGTTACTCTCATCAGTTAGCGTCGGTTGAAACGTCTTGGCGTGGCATAGATACGCTTGCATTCGCTCCATGTTCCACAATGGCTCGTCGTTATCTGTAGACGAATGAAGTCCTTTGCCTTCAAGAATGAACGAAGATACGATTCTTTGAAAGAAAGCAGACAAAAGGCCTTAGAATTTCATATCATTTGAATTGTCAAGGGCGTGTGCGGGGTTTACATGAGGGGGTTCCGAGGAACGATTAATTAAATCGCCCGCTGGTTAATGGGCTTGCGGTTTCAAGACTGCAAAGAAGCCGATATCACAAGTCAGGTTAATTTTGATTAAGAAAAATATAGACTATCCGAAATTACCGTACTATTTGCAAATTAACTCTCACTTTAAAGTTTCCAAAGACTTTTGTCGGTCGCCGGGGCAGAACCCCTGGGGCTCCTTTGCAAACGCCCCTCATAGAATTCATACCACTTAATTAACATGGGATGTAAGGAAGAGCAGTGTGTAATACATCGATTTAARTTTGCCAACGTGAATAGTTTTGGATGTCGTTAGTTTTAGATGTCATTACATCGTGTTGTTTTTGAACTCTAAAACATTTGTACATCAATCGCAGTCGATTAGCTGTAAGACCATTGATCGATTTTCTTGCTTAGTTTGATTGACAGACTTAAATCTACGAATAATCAATGTACGAAAATTGCAAAAAAAAAAAAAAAATAAAATAAATATAAAAGCTCGTGTTCTTATGCTCGACGACATAGCAAACCTCACTTTACGAACAAGTTTGGGACATTTTCAGTTTAGGAGAAGATTTGCAAGAGTATTGTAGTAGTTTGCGCAAACAACGACACAYGTAAATCGCGGCTGCGTAGGAGGCTCTACGTTTGACATTACTTCAAGACTGTTTCTACAATAAGAAAACTTACTTATCCCATTCTTCATTTTTAGCATCATGAAGAACAAAGACCAGGTCAAATCTGCTAAGTAGAGGACTGGCTAAAGCGATGTTAACACTGAGAGACTCGCTTGGATCGTAGGGTCCTTTAGGATTAGTAGCSGCTAGAATACTCGTCCGTGTACTTAGCTTACAAACCATCCCAGCTTTGGCCACACTGATAGTTTGCTGTTCCATAGCCTCATGAATACCTAAGAAAACATGCACAAGATTGGAAAATATTGACTTGTTATTTACGATTTCATTTATTACATAATTCAGAATAAGTCGGTRAAATACGGCAAACTGAGAACACAGGCTGCCCAACTATTCCARAAGATACTTTTTTTTCAAACTAAGTAGAATGCAATCCCCTTTTTTTAATATGAATAGTGTGTGCGAGTGTATGGTTTTATTACTTAGAAATCTGATTTAGCTCATCAAGGAACCTAAATTGTATCAATATTTCTGTACATCAAACTATTTGATAAACCATACTTACTGCCTCGATCATGTTCACGTATACTGTTGAACTCATCAATACAGCATAGCCCGCCATCAGCCAATACCAAAGCCCCTGCTTCTAATTGCCATTCCCCTGAATCACGTACTGCAGTTACAGTTAGACCTGCACTGGTAGATCCAATACCAGTCGTAAGAACAGACCGCGGGACTACCTTGGCAGCGTACTTGAGAAACTGAGACTTGCCTGTTCCTGAAATATAGAATCAGTAAATAAATAAATAGATAAAAAATCATATAAAGTTGTCAATCAATCAATCAATCAACGAACCAATCAATAAATCAACGAACCAATCAATAAATCAATGAACCAATCAATCAATCAATCAATCAGTCAGTCAACCAATTACATGTGTAAATTGTTACTCAGTCAACCGATTAATCAATAAATCTTTTTATCAACCAATCAATCACTCAATCAGGATGTCAATCAATCAATCACTCATTCAATCAAAAGCCATTCTAGGATTCCCGAATAATTAAAATATAATGAAACAACTTTGACTACTGTTAAAGTATCTTGATACATTAAAAAAAAATCTTAAATCTGAATCAAACATTTCCATGAAATAACCACTTTTTGCTATGCATAAATTCCTTACAGTTGCTCAAATGATTGAATAGCAACTAAATAATTTATAATAAAATATAACAAGCATCATACCTGGATCTCCAACAAGTAACATATGTGATTCYCCTCGTACACGTGTACCAGAATYATCAACTCTCTGTACCCCTCCAATCAGCACTAGAGCAACAGCAAGTTTTACTGCATATAAGCCATACACCTGAGGACAAAAGCTTGCAAGAACATGGTTCCTTCCAACAAGAGGTCTTTCCTTGTATCTCATCCAAAATTCATTGAATTCTTGCTTGATTTCATCTGTGAGRACGATAYTTGACCGTTGTTCATTGTTRACTGAAACATGGTTGGCTTTGATGATGACTTCAAGGTCACATTTGACCTAAWAKAATACATCAAATGAATAAATCTGATATATGAAAGCCTGCTTAAAGTTATGTTTCATGACAGTGCATTTTTGGAGCTATTTYTCACAATTTTTCCATCCTTATAAGAATGTTACTCAATAAGCATGCTGTTTGATAATCTATGTGGATATTAAATTCCTTTGTATTCTGTGCCTCCCTTATTTTATATTCTATGACTGTGACAAAGCTGATRTGTCCAATGAAGTCCTTAAAAAWACCTCAGGGATTGTTGGTCTCCAYCTTCTCATCACAACRCCACAAATAGTGACATCATCACCAGCCTTGCAGCAGTCCACAAGGTCGTCTTCAAGCACRACCCACATGGACCTYGGGATTGTTCCCACTGCAAGCTTTTGSACTTGTTCTTGTATCTTAATTTCCTGGTAATCACGGCATCTTGTTGGCATTGTACCTGCATTACAATAGAATAGTAACCTTTCCATAATCATAACAAAAATTGTATTGTCATATTGTACCTGCTTCAGAAAGAAGGGAAAAYTTGTTTGAGTCACAATYGCCTGGGGATGGACATTTGGTTGGTTTTGGTATGATGTAGAACTGCTCCAAATCAGCTTTAACTGAAAACACATTCTTGCAGCGTGTACAAATATATTCCTTTTCATGCTCCAACATTTTGATTGTTGACACTCTGATGATAGTTCCTTTGAAAAAAAAAATCATATGATAATCAAGATATAAACTCTTTCTTACACTATTGTAAARCTGTTCATTTGTTTGTAGCAAGACAGTGTATTGTGTGACCCCTCTATTAAGGGGTCACCTTTGGGAAACACTGGGTACCTGATTAAACAGAGATTTACYTGCCTGACGGCTTGTTTATTTCTCATGTTCTTCCAACCATCCTGCACGGTTTATTTCGCCAGTAAGCTGCTTCAAGCTATCGTTTATTGTTTTTATATTATAGCCGGCAATTTAGACTCGAAGAGTCTTTCAAGACAGCAGGCTGGTTTACTGGCGAAATAGACCATAGCTTTTCTCATGAAATCCACCAATCAGCGAGCATGTTAGAAATGAGCTATAATATAAAATCTGGTTTTSAAGTTTAATCCAGTGAACACAATATGACACTGCACAGTACCTGAGATGGCTAAGAACTTGTTGATATCTGATGACTTAGGAATGGTATTTCTCTTTAGCTCTGGGCAAACAGGTAGATTSGACAGTCTTATGTGAAGATGTGGTTTAAACGACATATTTGARGGAGAATCAGTATCCTGCATAATTGTCATAGCTGCTTGAGCAAGAGCACTATCAAAYAGAGGTAGTGTTTTGGTTGGTTCGGCTAAAAGACWCTGACTAATRTGWATGTTGCTGTCAAAWAGTTCCAAGGTATTCACTGTGACCGAGTAATGCTGAGATACATCTTCTTGTAAAAGGATATGTCTCACGTCTCGGAGGTGGTGCTCTTCTAAAAAAGACTGCAAAGCAGCAATTGTATTATCGTCATCTTCGTTGCTTATTCTAGTAGAAGACGATGGAGAGGCCATTCTTACKTTGACCAACTTCCCGCCTCAAATCAACTATGCAGCAATCACGTTGTGAACATTCTTCGGCTAAAATTCTCTAGAATAATWGTTATAGTAAAAATCACTTGTGATTCTTTCATTCATTTAGATGCAGACAATAAAAATCCCGTTCTTCAAGTTTGCGTAGATTAGCGCGCCAAAAAGTTGCCAAAATAGCTGTTAGCAGCAGGCGTTCCTAACTTATTAGAGAAAGACTTGAAACCATTTACATTCTCTCTCATCATTCGTGGAACGCCTGCTGAAGATTGCTACCCGCCAATTCCCATTGATTTTCCTGATGGATTGAAGAGGAGAAGAAACGTTTCCCCGTAAAGATGTCCTTGCTTTCTCTCTTCCCAGATCCACCAGGTTTTGATGAGGTYACTCTGTGTGAATACAATTCCAAATATATCTCAGAAAACGTTGAAACTGCCGACGTAAAAAAGCATGTCCCAGCTACACACGTTAGTAAACAGTTAATCTCAATTGATGTCCTGTATCAACGATATTAAATTATTATTACTATGCCTTTTAGGGATTTGATTATCCAGTTATTAGCATAGATAAAGAGGGAGTTAAGACTGGACGGAGCTTATCCAAGACTGAAGAAGAATGGAGTCCATTTTTGAGTTGTACTGAAGAAACAGATATATGGAAAAAATTATTTCATGCTTTGTAAGTTTTACTAGGGCATTTAGATTTACTGATACCAAGCAGGATGTATTAAGTTTCTTTCATTTACTAGTAGATGATAAAGTGGATTGCAATGTTTTGATACGATGCTACACAAATTAGAGAACAGATTCTTGTTGAGAATTTCGAGAAGTTGTTCAAGAAAAAAATTGGAACCAAAAGTCATAGTTAACAACTACCCCTGTACGCAGCAATAGTACTTCAGATTTTACAACGAGTACGAGATTGAGTACGAGTACGAGTTTTGAAACAAGCTTTTATTGTGTTGCCCATACTAGATTTCAATCCACTTTGTGTTTTTATTTCTTTGATGTTTCAATCTATTCACAGGAATGCAATTCGCAATTCATGGTTAATAGCGCACTTAAGGTCCTTAAGTTCAATTTTAAAACTCGATCTCGTACTCGTTGCCAAATCTGAAGTTCCCTATTGACACTGTGGCAGCGAGTACATGCAGTACACTTGCAATAATAGTTCTTCATTTTTTCATGCAGTCCAAGTATAAATTATACAGAATATCTAACATCATTATAAACTAATAGATTATTTTTTCAAAGATATAAACATCAAACACATATCTATGAATTCTTYTTATTTATTTAGAGTAAACAGAGGATTCACAGGTATGCTTCAAGAACTCAAAAAGAGCAAAGATGAAGGTACAGTAATGAAGGYCGTTTGATAGATATGCCAACTTGTGCTTATRTCTATGATATATAWCAACCCAAAAGATGATATGTTGTTTGAATTAATTACATCGATGGATAACGATTGAAGTGAAGAATTTTTCTAATATTTATGTGATATTTCATCTACATTTTAAAGCACCAAAGTGGTTGACATTYCTTGGAAATGGTATTGATTCAATAACTAGTTTGTTTGACTCTTTGTATGGGAAAGCCTTTCCTCATCTRAATGTAAGTAGGCAAGTGTACAATGATAAGGTTAATGACTTAAGTGTTTATTCTGCTTTCAATCTATCAAAACTCTAACAATGATAATTGTTTTGTTATCTTTATTTGTAGTTGTCAAGGGAAGAGATGATTACAATGTTTTCATGTGTTTCCCATTGGTAAGATCAACTTATGTTGTAATATATGATACAATACAGATATTAATTAATATAAATTTAATCATGGATTATATGCTGCATTTAACATGAATGATTTCTGAAAATTTTTGTCTTTAGGCCAACTTCCTCAATAAGAGGCTTGGAATGGCACCCTTTTATTGRAAAGTTTGCAATTGCATGGCAGGTTAGAATTTGGTTATGAATCTCTTGTATCCATTATTGTAGAATAAATTTTAATGCTTTTTGGTAATAAATTTYGTGTTGTTTGATTTTATAGGATGATAGAATAGAAGTTTATACATTAAAAAGGTACATTTTATAAATAAATTGTACATTACAATGGTGGACCAAAAACTTATATTGTTGATTGACAATTGATTAATTATTATGTGATGCAATGTAAGTCTTTATGTGTCTCTTTTACATTTTAGTAATGTGGTACCTTTACTAAAACATCGACGACAACAAGCCATCACATGCGTTGCATGGAGGTTAGTATTAAAATTCATGAGTCTAGATCTTATTAATAGACAATCTCTTGTGCTAGCACTTTTAAAGCATCACAGGAAAAGAAACAACTGGATGTATTTTCAGACAGTTTATGCAGAAAATGGCTCAATTTCCATCAAACCTATATTAATATCTCTTCCAGGCCTCTTTCAGCTTCAGTACTTGCTGTGGGTTGTAACACAGGTATTTTTGTATGGACAGTAGACCCAAATTCACCAGTAACAAGGTAACTATTCTGACTTGTAGTTGTTTTTGTGACTTACTAAAACACAATATTAGAAAAYTTGATCACAAATTTATTGTGCTTGCTCCAGTTGTATGAAAGGTGGGTAAATTTACCTGAAAACAAGGATTTATCTCTTGAATATATGCTATACAATGTTTCTATAACTCACACCTGGTGTGGTATTGTATTCTGAAGAAATAATACATAATTTATTCCTTTTAGACTKGGCAGTAGTTCTGTTAGGCACCTTTCACAACCATGTCACAATCCTGTTACATGTATTACATGGTCTCCAAATGGGGATTTGTTGGTGTCTGGATCTCCCGCTGATAGTTCAATGATGGTTGGTAAAATTAGCTATTTTTTGAACAAAAATATTATTTACTAGATGGCTTCTTTGTTGTAATGTCATAATCATAGTTGATATCTTTTTCTGAAGGTGTGGAATGTTAGTGTAGAGAGTGCAACTCCACTGTACAGAGCTGGAGGAGGAATTTCWCTCACTTGTTGGTCACCAGATGTGAGGAACCTCTTTGTTGCTACACCTGGTTCAATGTTTAGGTGTGTTTCTAGACATTRCCAATATCCCATTTCTGATGTGAAATGTCTTGTTTAAAGTATTTGCTTGTTTTGACTTTTCATAGTTTTTCTCACCAATTTTGTTATAATTTTGTTAGAATATGGGAAACACAGACTTGGACTTGTGAAAAATGGTCAAATCTTGCAGGCAGATGCAAGGTAAATATGGTTTGTTTACTACAACATATTGAACATAATTAATTGTTTCCATTTTCTTACCTTATTTAACTTTCATTTTCACTCTATAGGCTGCATGCTGGAGCCCAGATGGAGGCATTCTTATTTTTGCTGTAGCAGAAGAATCAGCTTTGTACTCTTTGAAGTTTCACGATGGAATACAAGGTTGGAAAAAATTGACAAYTGATATACACAAGTAAAATATGGATTTTTCTGTATACCGCAAAWATGTAGCTACAATTATAGCCAATTACAATTACAATTTATAAAATTTGGCCTGATACTGACACAATACAGGTTACTTTTAGTAAGAAWTCTAACCACAAATGAACAATCAACAGGTGAGAATTCCCCAGACTATTCAACTGGTGCTCAAATTGCTGTCAAGTGTGCAAACCTGGTCCCACATGCCTTTGGTGATGATGACTCTCTCATACTTGGTGGAGTAGTTAGAAGCATGACATGGGATCCTCTTGGTGAACGACTGGCTGTCATTTTTGAGGGTAAGATGACCACTGACACTCCACTTCTTTTGAAAATCAGAGATGCAAGATTCACACTTGAGATAGATGTGAAAAACACCCCCTTAATCTATCCCCCCATATCCCAACTACTACCCCTGCACACAGCACAGGAAGCATTGTTCTCACCRACTCCTGAAGCAAAAACGTACTGTGTGAGTAGGAAATTTGAACAGCACACATCTTGCACACTGGAAATTTTTTGCCTCACGAGATTGATTGAAATCTTTCTCATCATGGACTCCAAAGCAACAGTCTTATGAATATGCCTGAAGATAATGAGGTCTGGTTGCTATGATCTACATATTTCAAGGCACCATTTGTTTACTTTCTTCTAGATGAAAAATGCAAAGCACAAGAAGTGGTTGCCATATTCAAGACAAGATTAAAGCCTTCTTTTGAAATCATCCCAAGGTTTRAYTATRTTTTCATTCTGTAGAGTGACTTTTCCACAATAMATTTCCATGATATAAGGCTTATTGTGCTTTCTTTTCTTYAGTGGTTTTGTTAGAGGACCTCTTGATACCTACCCTGAAATTGTGGCATTCCAAAAACAGTTTGACAAAGGAGCTCTCCTCACAGTGGTATGTGTTATGACAAAGAGACGTAGGTTTGAAGGATTACTTTAGTTAAACTAGCATGTTCCTGTRGTGTGATAATCTTAGTGATTGTTAATGTTATTCACATGATGATTACGCYTTGGCTTGTTGTTATTTTTAGGGCTGGTCAGATGGAAGTGTCACGTTTGTTCCAATGTTATTTTCAACTTGTGATGAGAAGTGCTTAAAGCAAAGTCATCTCTCAAATGGTGCCATAGTTGGATCAAATAGGTACACAGAGTAAAGGCCGAACTATTGTATAATGTAAAGTAGCTGTACATAGTATTGTACAAGTTTATGCACATTGTATAGTGCTCTGCCCTATATAAGCAGTTAGGTATTATATTCTACACTACAGCATAGTTAGATCAACCAGGATGTCAGGCATAGACACATCTTGGAATATATTTGAAAAGATCACTGTAAACCAGGTGGTGCTAAGTAGGATTGAATAAAAAATATGCAAAAATTATGGAATACTAAGATGCTGTATTGAAAATAAATATATATTCTTGAGTGAAACCAAGGGCTTTTGAATTTTACAATTCTCCTTGATGCACATGTACTAATCACTTTGTCTTTTTTGACTTCAGCATGCTAAGTTTTTAAGCTAGCACATTAGCATCAAATGGGCATTTGATTTCAGTGTTTGTGTCTTAGAGTGGCTTTTAAATTTGTGTTATTTGGTTTCCTTCATGGTCTTAATCCTTGCAATCCATTACCTTCTTACCACAACTAAAGCCAAAAACATCAATATGGTATTAAAGAGGTTATAATTTTCATGATCGTCAAGTCTAGAAACTATTCAGAATACATTTCATTTACTGATAAATGTATAAATAACACTACTGGATTCATATCTTGTTCGTAATAATATGATATTGCTAAGGGCAACAGCGAGTACACAGTAAAAATGACATCTAATTATTTTATCATTCAAATTTATTTTTATTCTTATTTTTCATTTGAAAAAGGAGAAAAGCATTAATATTGTGCTCCAAAAGGTTTTTTGATTAGGACAATTTTTGCTAAATATTTTTTTCTTTTTACATATTGATTTGTATCTGTTTCATTCATATATTTTTTTTAATAAATATATCCCCCACGTTAATTTAACATCATATACCTTTAAGAAATGCCTATGAGAATAGCAGTGTCCTTCTAAAATCATTTAAACATGTCACCTTTATCAGGTAAGACAATTAGGCACCACACAAGTCCTAGTGTACCTGTCATAGCAGCTGTGAATACAAAAGAAGATTTTGAGGAAAAAAGTAAAGAAATATAATTCTACAATTTAAAGATTTGAAGAATAAATTCTGGAAATATCATTATTATTGTGATACCCAAATTTTTGAATCAAAGAAATTCAGGAAACATCAGTTACATTATAATATGAAAAATGTTATTTATGTTTCTTTGAGAAAGTTTGTTTTTGTTCATATTTGTTACAGTTTTGAACAGTTCCATTCATTGAATGAGYTCCATTTGCAATACCATTCTTTGACAACTGTTTATTTAGTTTTCTACGAATGGTTTTGGAAATTGGTGTCGGTTTTCTTTCTGGACTTCGTACTTTTGAGTCRATGCTTATTGCTATCAGTGTCCCAACAATTGGRCCGGCCCAAAATACGAAAACATGTTCTATTACATCTTCTYTTGCTTTGGTGAAAAGAAAGGAATGGACTGTTGCAAAAACTGGGTTCATCCAGACTCCTGTAGTTCCAGTCAAAGCATAACATATAACGATGCAAGCAATTGCRCGGATATATGGATTGAAAAGTCGAAGGCCACCTCGAGTCAAAAAATCTGTCATCGTCAATAAAAACGTTGTTGTTATTTCMACRATAAAACCAACAAAAAGAGGTACTTCGAGGCTTGACGATAAACCCTGATTCAGTTGCTTGAAGTGCAATTCACTGGATGTTGACTTCCATACAAACTGCATGAATGGAAAAGCAAGCAAAGCGCCAGTCAACTGGGAACACACTTTAGTAACAAAGTCAACCATCCAAGATTTTCGAGCATTTCGTTTTACAACACCTTCAAGGAGGCCACACGGGTTAGCTGATAAGCCGTCAAGAATGTACTCTGTGTTTTTAAGGCAAAGGAGAAAGAAACTGCAGACAAATCCCAAGGCAGTGCTATAGTACTTCCCGATGACAGCGATCTCAAACACAGCCGCAGAAAACTCAAATGCRGATATCAGTTCGCCCGCGTAATGATAGTGGCGCGACTTACGTGTAAGCAATTTTTTGAGTAAAAGTCTGGCTAATTCTCCAATAAAGAATCCTCCTATAATGGCCGAAAACGACCATATCACAGCCATGTTACACAACGTGTATARTGACCACGACGCGCGATCAGATGATTTCAAAACTGGGATAACCAGTTTAGTAACCTGTAGTGCGTGACWATCARCCAACGTTACCATCTTGCGCGGATAGAATAAATAAACACTTGATTTTAATATTAAAATACAGATTAACTATAAAAGTGTTTATTATTTTTCAGTAAAGCAACATTAAAATCATTTCATATGTAAAAATAACAAGTTGCCATGAATACTCTCTACAAATATTGTCCTTTATTAAAAACACCTAATAAATGAGAGGTCCCTTATAGAAGTATACTGTATTTCGATTTCCGACAGTCACGCAATCTTTGAGACGAAAACTAGGTTCATGACAAACAGTTGACTTCCACGGAATTGTAACATGTTGCGAAAAATTGTTTGAACAAACGCCAAACCTTTCATAAGAACTAGTCTGATAGACATTTGTGCTTTTTGAGTGTTTCTTTGAAGAGTGAACGATCACGTGATAGTTACTTTCCAAATATGGAGCAGAACAATCGCACAGCTACGGAGTGGCGATGGATCGAGAGCGAAACTTGATGTTCTAGAAGTAATTCTTCATTCTAGGCGTTTTTGTAGCATCACTAAAGGTAAGCATGTTGTTAAASTATGTTTTATAATGGTTTGTTTGTCGTTGATGAAGGGTTTTTGAATGCGCTTGACATGCTTATTGAAATGTGAACGGTGACAGTTCGAACCCTCAGTAGCTATAAACATCATCATTCCTTTCAAACTTTGCTGGTTTCCACTTGGAAATTTTAAATTTCGGATTGTTAATACTCGAAATATCACTCTATTTCGCTATGGTGTATTTGCACATGACTTGATGAGTTTAAGGTTTGCTATGAAGAGCAATTTGGTCATYGTGTCGCGTTTGCAAACGTGCAGTTCACGATCGGCAGATGTTTCCATAAAGTATGAAAGTTACAATATTTAAGGACCAAATCTTTTTGTATTAATACTAAGAACTCAAAAAGTGACATGTAATTAGTGAAAAACATGGCGGCACGGCTGATACAAGCGACAATAAAGTTATAATATATAATCTCTTGCATCACGCGTACCCCCTGAAATTTCTTATAGGAGGTCGCGTAGTCGATTTGCTTGAATTCTTTTTCAGCATTTCTACATAAATATCGGTAAAACAACAACACAAAAAGGCACTCCAACAATTAATGAAATTCATGATCTGATTTGTTTTGTATTTTCATTAAATATTTATTTTACATGTTTTCCTATATATCTCATGGAGAGAAACTGGGGAGGAGGAATTGCACTGGAATCAATGTTTACCATGAACTTTCAAATGCATTGAAATTCACTGCTAACTACTACTTGCCAGAGCCTTTTTTTCAGCAAATATAGTAGGAATGTGTTGATATCTGAAACCCAAATCAATCCCCACTCCACACCACCATGGGAAACACTGTGTTTCTGGGTGGGTAAAAAAGCTATGGAGTTAATCCCTGGATTAACGCTAATTAGGCTTTGAATAACCTGGCACTGTGGAACTTAGTGAGCAGGGACAATGTATCTGATTAAATTTCTTGAATAATTTGCATTGACTAAATTAAAATGGGTTCCCTGTGGAGTACTTTGAAAGCCTAGTCTTTTAGTCTGTTGTTCAAAGGTCAATGGGCAGTTAGCCTGCATGGGCAGGCTATGGGCAGTCAAAATGCTACTTTGTCATCATAGCATTGTTCCAGTTTGATTCTCAAAGAGTAGCATTCCTCAGTCCTATGCAAAATGATTTTTTTGTAAACTGGTTCTCCAGGTCCAACTGTCAGTCAAAAACTAGATGTAAGCAAAGGATTGTTAGAACTACGTAGGTTGTTAGGAAGACATGAGAAGCAGGGTTGCAGTCAGGCAAAAATGGCAATGAAGGCATGTGCTTGTTGCTTGAGACAAAAAAAAAATGTGTTACAGAGCTAAATTCCTAAGTTCTTTTTTCTTTTTGAAAAATATAAGAATTACATGTAATAATGAAAGGACAGCAGAAAAATTTCAATTAAGGAAAGCATCTCAGTGACCTTTGACCACTCTGGGAGCTACTCTAAATATAGTACTATTTGATTTGTTCGCATTAACTGCTTTTTTGCACAGTGTTTAGTGAAATGATGGACGGCTTGTCAAAATATGGCCATTATCACAATGAAACCACAAGTGTGTCAATACTAACTTATCTAGTTTAAAAGGAGTGTTTATTATTTTAAGAGATTTACACAGATTCTGACTTTTTCACATTGGTGGGTTTAGAACAATATTTTCCATCGCATGTGGCTTTTTCTGTTTTGTTGCTGTTGATGTTGCTGGTTATAATGAATTCAGGATATCAGTTTAGCTGTTTCCTATGCCTTTCATTTTCGGAATATCTTTCAATCAAAGTGTGATTCACATGATATCGGTTCAACTGTCTCCTTTTGCCTTTCATTTTCAAGCAGATCTTTCAATCAAAGTGTAATCGCAAATACTTAAATAGTTAATCCATTAGAAGTTTCGTTGGATAGATTTTAGTAATATAGGACGGAAAATGAGATCATTTTGCGCTTGCSTGGACACACGAATATATTTTTCAGCAAACGTAACATATATATGAGGATGGACAGCACAAAAGGAAGACAAAGAATTAAGACCCTTTTGATGCACCGAGTGAATAAATTGCGTCTTTTATTTCCGCCAAAGTCAAGACCCCTTTTGTGATGTACTCTCTCATATATATGTTATTTACCAGCATGGAGGGGACAGTATGGCGAAACATTGCCTGAGGTCTTTCAGTGCGGACCTCTCTATCTTAAGCGTTTTGCTTTTTTTCTGCGTGGATTCAGAGATCGTGAAAAATGGACGGATCGCACTCCAGCCAGTCGGAGTGTGCGCTTTCATAGCTCATGAACACACCGAAAAAATGAGTAAAACAAATGAAGTAAAGAAATGAACAGACCTATTGAAGACTGTTCTAATATCACGAATTTTATCGTCTCTTTTACGTTATGCTTGCTTGTTTTTGGTTATTTTCTCTCTTGAGTTTATTGCTTTCGGGCCAGCTGCACGACGCGTGAATAGCGCTATCTACCGGATATCTTATCAAGAGATCCATACAAAAACTTTATAACTTCATCCAAAGATTTTTTTGATTGAACGTAACGCAATGATCTGCGTAACGGAAGGTTATATGAATTGATTATTGAACAGTTTAAGTGTTCTGTCCTCAACATGTCACTTATATTTAACGCTGAAGACGAAATTAACTCATCTAGTCTGTTATCATCATGTCTCCCCCATTTAAGTCTCTAAACCCTTGGGGTGCTCCCGTTGTTTCAGCTAGCATCCAACAGGYGCTTGAAATCGGCCTTCGCCATCATCATCCTACGTACTTGGTGCACGTCCACACCAAGCACCTTTCCGATCCTTGTCCATGTGGTCCCCGGGCATCTCACATCAAAAAGCACTTGTTTCTGCAAGGCACTGTTCTTCAATCTGCATATGTGCCCTATATATATTTGAGATGCTGTTCTAGACAAAAACCACGTATGGGTAGTGTCTTTGTGATATCACGGAGTCTGGCATTTGAAATCTTATAACTCCAATCCACTTCAGTTCCTTCCTGTTCAAAACAGTTATAGCCAAGTTATCCACTCTTAAAACGCACTATAGTCATACAAAACAAAAGAAAATCAGTGGGAAACTATTTTCCAAGAAAATACGTCGAAAGTAGAATTTTTTCTTTGACGGCCTTTTTGTCAAGCGTTTCCATTACTTTCCGATGTGGTTTTGATGATACTTGACTTGGACCTTAACGCTATAAAAGAAATGCTTTGTCACTGCATAAATGCTTGGATCCATGCCTGTGTTCATGCGCATGACCTTGAGCTGGAGCGTAAGCCGATCCTCAAATGAATTGCTGACTGCTATAAATTGATGTGTGACTTGGTGTCACCACTAGTCATTGCCCAGGAAAGTTGSCGGCACAATGTCGTTTAACTTTGGCGCTTTTCGTGGTCATCGCTTTGTCTCACCATTGGTAAGACAGTACTTGCCTCTTTAGTATTACTTGTGTTCACTTGTTGTGCCGTAAAGTGAGATTTATTACCAGTAGACCTTGATAGTTCTCTATAGCTTAGTATAGACAAGAAAATCCTTCAAGATAATTTAGAAGTTTGTCTTTCAAAATAAGAGATATGACTTAATTTTTTAGTTTTATTTATGATAACAAGATTTAGTTCTTTTTATAATAATATTATCTTGAGTCTAAATGGCGGGCAACATGAGAAGGATGTATGGTTTGCCGCACACCAGGCTTTGACGTTTAAACACTTGATTTGCAACGTCAACGGAACCTGGCTTAAGAAGGTTTTATCGCCCGAATAGTAGATGATATTTTCATCGCGATTTTACAATTCTTTGATCAACCCTCTTTTGGTTTTTTAAAGTATGAAATTAAGCCATAATAATTATTGTATAACTTAGGTTATATACTTTTCTATTCTTTTCATTCTGTTTTTTTCATTTCTCGTATTTGAATGAGAAAATATATTCAAAAGATTTCCTGTTATCTAAGTAAAATCTAGGTAAGCTACAACAAATGCCGCCATCTAACCCTATGTATCGACTATCATTGTCTTCAATGCCCTCTGCTATCGATCATTTAAAAATACCGAGAACACGTACAATTACCAAGACATCGATCCGTTGTCTGGCTTTGATTTTAAACTATAAAAGTTGTCTCTTTCTTCTTTTTCCTTAGTCATTAGCTGCGGCAGCTGAAAATCCTCAATGAGTTCCGTCTTGTCTTAAGGGGCTAATTTTGAATGTATTCGTTTTTACCGTAATTTATTGTCTTGCCAGTGCGATCTCCAGCGATGTTAGGAACTCTCATTAATGCAAAAGCCAGTCGGGGGCATTGGTTTGGTGATTTACCCTTTGTAACGGAACCGAGTGCCATAAACAACATCTCATTTTAAAGCTTAATTTGCTTGTTATCCTGTTTGAATTCCATACTGCGTTTTGTTCTCTGTTGGATTGTCTTGCATCCTATCCTTTACCTGCAATGATGTGAGGTCATGCTAATACTCGTCTGGTCTTTTTGGTTTCGAGGCCTTCCCCAAATCTCGCCCTCGAGAGACTATTCGCGCTTCGTGGATTAATCACGTCGCGCATGCTTGAAGTGAGAATAGCTATTCCATCATGTATAATTAGTTTTTAAAATCTTCAACACTTGAAGATTCATATCCGCATTTCCCACGCAGTTCCGTGTATTAAATGTCTTCTGTACCAATCGAATTCGAACTTACGACCTGCAATTAAACTCACTGACACCACTTCGCCAATTCAGAAACCTTTGCCATCACTTTAAATGATGGATTCTTTTTGTTTGATCATACTAACCGGCGTATTCTGGGTTTTTTTTTCAGCCTCGTTTCTACGAGACAATGTGGATGGCAAACCATGATGTCCAGGAAATGGCACAGTGTGCTTTTTGCAACAATGGTATACCAGAAGGCATGTCCAGTTACTTCCGGTGCGCTCATTGTAGCACACAATATTGCTCAAAAGAGCACAAAAAAGCAGACTTCAGGTTCCATAAAGCACGCTGCCAGGGCTATGCTAACTTCACACAACAAAACGACCCCGTTAGGTTAAGTGCACCAATAAGTACTCAGCAATATGTACCACGGAACGATGATTTTTCAGGGTTTTTGGCGTGTCAGCAAAATGCAAGTCAGTTTTCATTGAAATCTCTACCGGACCAAAAGCAAAGCGTCTCAGCGATGTCACCTTTGAAGGTACAGACTACCTCCAATTTAACACAAGTAGAGGCCAACTCACTTGGTAGTCAATTGAATCCGAATTATCAGTATCATCAACCCAACCCGATTCAAACAAATTCATCTGTGGACAATTACAATAACATTTCACCGATTTCCGGTCAGTCATCACCAACTGACCCTTCGGCAAAGCTCGGTGCAAGTTCGGTAAGATTTCAGGTGAATCCAATAGAACAAGACTTCAATAATTGTCAGTATTACCAACAGCCGTTAAACCAATCAAATCCATATTTACCACAGTCTAGTGAACCAACACAGACTGTCACCATACAAAATGCACCTATTCAAATCCAGGACACAAACGTTAGTAACGAAGACGATTCAATTCCCTTGGATGACGCGCTGTTATCGTTTCTTCAAGAAGCAGAACAATACGACAGTCCTGCTGAAGAAACACAGAATTCCAATCAAGGAAAGCTGCCTCGAAATCTTTCAGGTATCATCAGAGACTTGACCAAACAGACAGAGGAAAATCTTTTCTACGATGAACTCCTTTCCTCGGTCGATTCTTCAGACTCTGAGGGTGTAAATTCGCGTAAACAAAGTGGCAGCGAACTGCCGTCTACATCTGTTATGATGCCAGAGTTTTCTCCTATAATGTGTGAACAATTTGAGTTTCAAAAGCAGAATTCTAAAGACATTATTGAAGGTAAAACAACAGTTGAAGAGGAAGGGGTATTCAAGAGATTCAACATTAATGTCATAGCTGACTTTGTAGTGAAAAGCTTAAACGGATACAACCATTGTATAATCGACTTTTTACACGGGTTATCGCTGGCAAATGCGATTCTTGAAGACGTTAAGATGTTCCATACTGAGGAAGGGTTCTCAGAAGGACGGTTGTCTAATTTAGAGGACAAAAAAGGTACGCCAAACAGGGCTGTAAGGGAGGACTTGGTGGCTTGGACAGATGGTAAAGGACGCAAAGCTATTCAGAAGCATATGAGTCGTATGGATTTCTTGTTAAAACTTTGCAACAAATACATCACAGATGTCGAAATATCATCGAGAACTCAGGTACTTCTTTTGTGTCCTAATTTGTCGTCCGTAATTGTGGCATTAGCTCAAATGACCCACACATATCACTGTACTAGTGTCAAAAATGCACAAACGATTTTAAGCTTTCCATAAAGAAGGTTCCGAATCGGATTATATTCCAAGTGTTGGTGTTTTGAGTACCGTTTTATTCAGTAGCCCAGTTTGATCAACGTAGATCAGTTCATTGAATGAGTTCGACCTGATTTGAAGTGGCAGAAGTATAATGAAATCCTAGTACCTTTTTTAGATCCATTTACATTGTTGATTTGTAATTGTTGTAACTGTATTTCAGGCGATGGTAGCTTGTTATCCCGGTAAGGCTACTGGTTATAAACAGCACGTCGACAACCCAAATAAAGACGGACGTTGCATTACAACCTTGTATTATCTCAATCCAACTTGGAACGTAGAGGTGAGATGAGAAAATCTTTTGCTTGATAACGGGCGTGGCTCCGGGTATTTAGTAATAATTAGTCGGACTAGCCGAAGGCGGTCCGACTTTAAATTTACCTTTTAGCCTATCAATCTATCTATCTATGTATTATGTCGCGTTTGGACCACCGGAAGTTAAGAATTTAATAATTAACTATTGGGTTGGCTGTGTTATTACATGACCGGAAGCTCAAGTTGTACGAATATCGTTAGTAAATGTTATATGCTACTTGGCTTTTATATGACAAAAAAACTATTCGTTTACAAATGTGGTATCTGTGATCTCATCGGAATGCGTCTGTCTAGGCATTAGAAGTACGCGCATGTGCAGATCGCATAGAGTTTCGAGTTGTATGCTTACAAAACTGAATCAATATCCTTTCTAGTGTTAGACAGTCTTGTGGGGGCAAAGATTTCAAATTAGAACAAGAAGAAACTTTGTTTATCAATAACAGAAAGGCGAATTTAATGATTTTATAGGCATCTTTTTCCTTGTAAAGTTTTTATTTTCTTTGCCTGAGAAGTCAACGTTTTAGATGATATCATATGATCATGATATCACTTAGCGAGACATTTGTCTGAGCGTAGTTGATTTTATCAGTCAAAGCAAGCCAGCGTTAATTACATTACCTTTTAGGTCAAGTTTATTTCAAAGTCTCAATAAATTTTGCATATTTTGAACTAGACGCTCTTATTAGACCGTGAGTTGGAAAAAAAGTTAAGAAATATTTTTATCCATGTAATATCCTGTCTTTCTCAATTTTCACAAGCAGCTAGTCCGACTTCACGCTCCTAGAGCGTCTAGTTCTATGATGTTTTCGCGTGCTTGTTTTTTCGTTTTCATTGTGTAGTGGGTTGCCATCTTTTTTGTTTTCTTTTTGTTTCCATTTCCATATTTCGTAGCTAGCGTGATCTACGCTCAAAATGCTGCTATATTTTTTTGTTTTTCTTACTGAACTGTAATGTCCTTTGTACATAGACCGATGGAGGAATTCTGAGACTCTTTCCTGGTGGAATTCGACGTAAAACTGTCAACGTAGAACCGCTATTTGATAGGCTGCTGTTTTTCTGGTCGGATAGGCGAACCCCACACGAAGTTACACCAGCCTTCAAGCCGAGGTATTCAAATTACTGGTTATAAGGAATGATAGTATCTTAATGAGAGTGAAGTCGTTATTTTGTTCTTTCATCGTACACTTGCTCGCAAAAAGCATTATGTAGATAGATGTCTCGTGTTTCAAATTAAGTCTACAACATGTTAAAAACGTTTTTGGAGAGTTCCCCTTCATTGTTAAATGATTTTTAGTGATGTTTTTTGTCTTCTTTAGGTATGCAATAACGCTGTGGTACTTCAACGACGAAGAAAGAAAGAAATACATCAAACGTAGGTTTGCCTTTACTTCTGTAGATCTTTTTTTACACTGAATTGAATGACGGTTGTCAGGTTTAAAAGCACAAACATTTAAGTTAAGACCGAAAGGGTGTTCGGGAAACTACTCTGTACGCACGCAATTTCCCATGTATCCTTTCGGTCTGAGACTCTATGTTCGCAACATAATAACTTAAGGTTCAGCCAATTGAGTTTATACAATATAGTAGTATTTTTGATATATATTAAGAACTTCTAATCTTATGAAAATTTGAATGTTTAAACAATCAAAGTTCTCTGACATATTTCGATAGTTTGACATAAGGTCGCGCATGCGTGTTGGTTATATTTTTTCTTGATATTAGAACGGAGCCAGGAAGGGGAATGTTTGTTTCCTATTAATGCAGTCGTGTTTGTATTTTTGCAATATCAACCGATTTAAAAAGCAAATTCCCATACATAATATTTCTTCATTTCAGGGTATAGAGAAGGAAAGGCCGCAAAAACGTAGAAGAGCTATCCAAGACCTTAAAATGGCCGCGAATCCAGCCAAAAAAACAACGTTATATTCAATTGGGAATATAGACTTAACAAACGTCTTAGGAATCTACACATAGTTTGTTCTAAGTGTCTGTTCTTTTAAGTCAATGAAAAAAAAACTACATCTGCAAATAATTTATAGTAGCTTTGACACTTTGAAACATCACAATTAAATTACACCATTTTTCATATTTGTACATACAAAAAATAAACTTCTTAACTATTTTATTCACATTATTTTGTATTTAAAAACACTGATTGTATCATTTGGACGCCATTGAGTACTGTAAAAAAAATCAATATATACGATGACAAATAAAGAAATTTAACTAGCAATACAAAAATTCCAAGCAATGACCATGACCTGATCAATTAGGCGTACCAGCGCGATAAATTTGTATTTTTCCTACTTTACTTCTTAGCTTATAGTAAACAAAACAGAAAGGTCTCTAATAACAGACTTATTTGTATCCATACTTCAGCGACAACTAGTTCCAGCGGAGGAATAAATTCATGTAGTTTTGAATAACAAATCGAAAATAAGGTGTTTTATTTTAGACAACAGGTACTTGCCGTCGTGACCGGTTAACCGTGACGCCCTTCGCGTATCTCTGGCTCCCGTAGATGTACACACTTTGATCGGAAGCTGGAGATGAGATACTTGTTTTGGGCAATTCTTATCGTAAGCTTGGCATGTGGTAAGCTGAATTTTACATTGATCAGTGTATTTTTTGCTAGGAATTGTTTTGCTGTCGAAGAATTGTACCAAATCAATTTTCTGACAGTACTAGAAGCCATAATTTATCAGGTCACTCGAACAGTCATTCATTTCTTAGTTTCAATAAGTACTTGCCTGCCTTATTTAAGAGCATAGTCGACACACTTTGATTTTTTTGAAACGAAAAACGAAGGACTTAAAGACAAAACCACTGAGTTACAAGATGACTGCTACAATCCATGATGAAGATTTCTTGTGGGGAAGTAGGAAATGAGGTCATTCGCGATTCCTTAAGTTTGTAAATTCGAAACCGGCGATAACAAATATAGTGCTACTGCTGAAATTTTTACTACTTCATATACACAGGCTTGACCAAGTGTCAGGGATAAACAAAACAGTCGTTTTAGTCACAAGAAAGGCCAAACGTGCGCGTATATGCCTTAGCTTTGATTTGGTTATGAATGGTACACAGTTGGAACTCATCTTTCCATACGTTTATCCCCATTATTTATTTTTTTTGGATTTGAAAAAATGCTTAACTGGCTAAAAATTGGATTAAACTTTAGGAAGAACAGACTCGCATTCTCTTGTAGCTATGCAATCGCCCTTGGACCTGGTGGTCACATTGTGTTTTCATTGCCCCGGGGCCATTTGATGTGACCCGATCAGTTCAATATGACAATTGATTTTTTAGGCTTTAACCTGTGAGATCATTGTTGTTTTAAAATATAAGAAAGTAGATATTATATATGTATGAACGTTTAAGGATCAGTATCATATCAGTGGTATTGCAGTACTTAGTCTTCGTTTGCCTCGATTGTGCCACCATATCAATTAGTCCTTGTTGCTGCCTAGACTAGTTTCCTAAAATAAAATACGTTTTTGATAACTGGTCACTATAAGTCATTTAAAGTGTCATGTAATCCACATCATATTAACAACATCCAGAGGCCAAACTGACTTAAAGCTGTTCAGTCGACTTTCTAGTCGTATGAATTGTGACAGACAATGACATTAAATAAAAACATTTCATCCGCTTAAAAGACACTTCATGTAAATCAAAAAGACGGCTCTCCCTTCACTTCATTCTCGTTAAAACACAATTTTGTATTTTCCTCCTTTAAGAAATTGACGCTTCCGTACAAATCGGCCCGCAACAAACAGAACCCGACGAGACTGAGCCTGAGGAGGAGGAGGAGCCTCACCCCTATACCATATCATTCTTTGTCTTCCCACATGGTGCAGCGAAAGACCTGCTGGACAGGACTTTCAATAAAAAGAAACCATCTAATCATCATAAACTAATCACTAATGCACTGAAAGGTGGGTGTGTGAAACAGCATTGCTTTCGATGCACATGCATGATATTTACATCACGTTAAACTCCATTCGTATGTATACCGCTGATCATCATCATCATCATTCATCATCATCATTCATCATCTGTTCATCATGGAAAGGTCTCATCAATAGCGTCACACAGTAATTTCATTTCCATCATATATAAGATCCATTTCTAACTAGATATCACATCTAAAACTATAAAATATCTATCACTCTTCTATACACTACGCTTGTACTAGATATCGTCGATACACAAGAATTACTTGAAGCTTTTGCTATACTAAACCCTAGCGCGTCTTAAGAAACTAGGCCGGAGATGACCAGTTAAAAACCTTACATAAAATATGCCAGTACCCAGTCAGGTGATCCTGGACCATAGCCAAGGTGAAATATAGGTGCATTATTTCCGTCAATAATAATACACTATTTGTCTCTGTTAGCCAATGCTACTCCTGACGATACATGGCTAGACAAGAGCAATGAAGATATCGATTCACTTTACCAGAGAGGTAGTATTGATCATCCACCAAGCGAAATGTATCCCCACTGTCATCAATGTGATAAAAACTCTACCTTTGATGGGTGTACTCAGAAAGAAACACTGAAGGTTTGCAACAAAGGTTTGGCTAACATCTGCTATACCAAGAGTTTAAAGAAAGGAGACATCGTTCATTATCAGATGGGATGTGCAACGCATAAACAATGCCAACACGCCAGAGCAGTACCTTGTAAAAGTGAGTTACTGCACGTTATTAATCCATTAATAGTTTCACGGTTTTGTTAACTAGCCCATGACATTGACATTAGACTTACACACATTCGCAGTGTCTAATGTTTCTTCTATATTTAATAACTAGAATTGACTTTTGAGCTTTTGCTTCACTCTATCTATATTCATGTTTGACTTATTCATTTCAGTGTCAGTTAAAAAGTGCTTCACTTGTTGTCAATGGTCAGGGTGTAACTCACAGTCTCATCACCACAAGAACTTCCCTTTTGCACACCAAATAACAACTCAGTTGTCCATGGACGACGCTAAATCAACGTCGACCACTAGCGTGATGTCCTGGACACTAGTCGTGACCAGTCTCCTCTCAGCCGCGTTTGTGGTCATCTAGAGACCCCAGTAGTACGTACAAAGAGATGGACACAATCTAATATTGATGCATAGGCCTCAAACTCTTAGTTGACAAGGATAGCAGAGCTTTGTTATTCGCTATAACGCAATACCCATAGAGTTACAAGCAGGATTATATACCAGGATTACATAGTCATGGCGCCCATGTGACTCATGGGAGATAACTTATCCCACATTGGGATGAAATAATGGGATCTGTATACATTGTAATTAAAATCATAATTAGAAGGGGCTTGGGTTATGAATCACATAACGTATCCCACATTGGGATTCATGTAAAGGTTACTAAGGACTTATTTTAAATAAACAAGTCGACAAAGAAAGTTATAGTGTACCTTTAGATCTTTATGTTTTGTTGTGTGTGTGTTTGTTGTTTTTTGCGTTATATCCATGTGTACTTGTATATATATAATCACCCACTGAGAGGTTTCACTAACTGGATCCAGTTTATTGTAATTTGGGTCCGTTTTACCAAGAGCAAGTCCAGTAATCGTTACAATTTCTCGGTAACAGTCTTGCCGACTTTATTTGCGCTGGACTAAATTCCAGGAAAGTGAATTGCTTTTCTTAGTAGTGTTTCCCGTTTTCAGCGAACTCTACGAAGTCTTCCCACTTCATTCTCACATTATGCCAAGTCCTTATAGAACTGCTAACTGCCTGACTATCTATGTATCTGGAGTATCCTGGGACTGACACATCTCACGATCGGGATCATTCTGTTATCCACTCTCTCACGGTTTTCCTCCGCCAGCGGAGCCCTGGGAACTCTTTATGTAAACGTTTAAAATCTTCATCTGAAATTACATAGAACAGTTTACTGCCTTGTCTTCTTCATTCATTCATTTTTCATTTTATTCATTTATAATTCACACTTGTTACAAAAACAGGTTGACCTGTATCTCCGAATGTTACATGTAATGTTAAGTTTGTTTAATCTTTTATCTTCCCTCTGTGGTGTACGTAGATTTGTCACTTAAGAATATTACATTATTTCTTAGCCCCCAGTGACGGTTTTGACTGATTCAACAAAAGGTTTCAAAACCATTAACTATGGTTGGATTTACGATCTTCTTGCCACCTATAAATCTTTCATTCGACGGATGTAACAAGTGTAATATATACCACACTAGCTCAATGTAAGTTTTTGATCAATACAAGGGCGTTTCCGGGATCCGCCATTATTTGCGGGTACTCACAAAACAACTYATGAATGTCTTTTGGAGAAGCTAGAAACAAAACATATCCCACATTGGGATTCATGTTGAGGTTACTATAAAGGATTCATTTCAAATAAACAAGTCGACAAAGAAAGTTTCAGTGTACCTACAATACCTGTAGTTCTTTATGTTTTGTGTTTGTTTGTTTCTTGTTGTTTTGTTGAGTTATATACATGTTTTCTTATAATATAATCACCCACTGGGAAGTTTAACACACTGGATCCAGTTTAGTATGAACGCAACTCATGGTGCCCATCGATATGTCCAAGAATTCGCTAACTAAGGAAAAAAGAACAGGCCCTCGCCGCAATGTTGGATGAATGAACAAGAGAAACAAAAGAACTTTTTTTTTGTCTGATATTTAGGACATGAGGTAGTAAAACCCAGATACTAGGCAATGACAACAAYTTCGCATCAAATAATATTAACAATAATAATATTAATAATTATTACTAGATAAAGTAATTTTACAACAGACAATATATCACTAAGTTCAATGGGAGCCTTTAAAACAATACACTTTACATTGATCTAAAAATAATTACTAGGCGATTTCTTTATAATTTATGATTAAAATACTATTTGTCGGGTGGTTTGCCCATAAATTATATTACATAGCCAAATATAAACTACTCATTATCGGTGTGCATTCCCTTTTAGAACTCACAGATAATATAACGTTATGCTATCGTATTGTGGAGACGATGAGCGACAGTTTTCTCTATATACAAAATGATGTCGCAAGATGAAATGATAGTGTTTACTCTCTGTCTGTGAAATAAAATCTATAAATATTTTTTGACTAATAGCTCTTTAGTGCCAAAACACATGTCGGCATTACATACAATGAAATAAAGTATTATTACACACAATGTTTTTGAAGTTTTCACGGACAAGACGAGTTCACTATCGAGATCATAGTCTCATCGACCATTTTCCAATTATAAGTTTGCTTGAACCCACACTCAAGTACTATTGCAATTTGGACCCGTTTTACCAAGAGCAAGTCCAGGAAGCGTTATAATTTCTCTGTAACATTCTTGGCAAGTTTATTTGCGCTGAACTAAACTCCAGGAAAGAGAATTGSTATTTTTTTGTAGTGTTTCCCCGTTTTCAGCGAACTCTATAAGTCTCCCCACTCCATTCTCACAAATATCAGCAACGGCTGCTGGGATAAGTCCATAGAAGACACACCGTTTATACATTGTCTTAAGTAAGCATTTAAGTCCTTATCGGACTGTTAACTGTCTGACTATCTATGTATTTGGAGAATTTTTTGGAGTATCCTAGGTCTGACACATCTCACGATCGGGATCATTCTGTTATCCACTCTCTCACGGTTTTCCTCCGCCAGCAGAGGCCTGGGATCTCTTTATGTAAAGGTTTAGAAGCTTCATCTGAAATTGCATAGAATAGTTAACCGTCTTATTTAATTTATTCATTTATTTTCATTAATTTATTTCATTTATTTATAATTCACACTTGTGACAAAAATAAGTTGACCTGTTTCGCCGAATGTTAATGTTTAGTTTGTTTAATCTTTCCCTTATCTTTCCTCTGTGATGTACATAGGTTTGTCACTTACGAATATTACATTATTAATTAACCCTCAGGAAGTGCATGACCAGTCGGTCTAGCGAGGTAGAAATAGCAAGTAACACACGCTACCAACGGTCGGTCTAGAGAGGTGTAAATAGCATGTAATATACAAGTACATCGGACGTTCCCATCAAAAATCGATTCAATAAAAGAGACGTGAACAACATGCAATACCCCTGTACATCGAGCGGTCGAACTAGAGGAATGTGAAAAGCCGTACCTTTGTTCCTGAGAGCTCTGCCAGATGTGGTAACAGAATCTCCTCACCAACAATGTTATGAATAGCAACAAGACAAAACACACTAGCCTTTCGTACACTACTCTCGATATGGTCACAGCACTGAAAGAAAAAAATCGCTGCATTAGGCGGCCGTTGTCAGTACGTGATGTGATGATCAGTTCGGTTTTACTCACCTTGATTAAACCAGGTACCATATCACTAAGATTGTCTTCTATAGTAACACTGTCTACACCCTCAACAACCTATATATAACAAGGATAGAACAACGGTAAGATGACATGACAAAGAACATATGGGAATTGCCGGATTTTCAAGTTCTGAAGAACAACGGTGTGATCACGTGTTTTAAAAGATGGAGTATTTTTCAGACAGAGAAGAACCCAAACTTCCTCAGAGCGGGGAGGAACGCCAGGCTCTGCAGGGTTTATTGCATGGTAAGATATTTGCAATGTGCCGCGGATGATTTATCGTGTTATAGAAAACGAAGTTCAGCCAATCAAAGCGCGAGTGCCAACTATAGTATTCTATAATAGATTTCTAAAGCTTTTAAGTCAACTACGTATTTCAATGCATCGTGGGATCAGTTTCTGGAGAAAACAAACGAAATCTGTCATGTTTTGTCCCAAGAATACGCTACAATGCATTGCGTATACGGTGCACGACGTAAAACCTTCAGAGGTCTATATGCAATTATAATCTGACGAGATTTTACATATCTCTGGTATGCACAGCGCCTAAAAAGGTGTGAATCACAGCTAATTTATATCACGAATCTAAAGTWCTCATCAATTATAGTCATGCATAAAACTCGGCTCTGCCTTGACATAACACTTGCCTTCGTCAACATCTTAATAGACGCTAGTGATACCGGAAATTCCGAGTCTCTAATGATAGGTCCAAGAACTTTCATGCAGTCTTCAGGTAAGAGTGACTTGGCCACAGTCGCAGCGGCTTCTTCTGCTTGACGAACAATCTTAATAATACAAAATATAAAATTGGTTTAAGGGATTGAGGATGCTTTAGCTATGAATACGTTTTTTCAATAAGCGTATAAATACTGGGTCATTTAGAGTTGTGATTTAAGATTGCATATGCTGGTTTATGCTTTCACGATGGACTCATATACTACAAGTATCACCCTTTTCCTTTTTCTCTYGACATCGTTTCTCACCTCTTTTTGCGGATCTTTATGAGCTTGTAATATTTTACTTATCGTTGTTCCGCTGACTTCGTGAAACACGTACGGTTGCGCACGTATCATATCCTTGATCACCCGTATAGTGAGAGATCGAATTGAAGGCTACAACAGAAAATAATACGTAAGACTATTTATTTACGTAAGGTTGTAGCGTAGCACTCAGCAATGACACTTTAATGTGAGGTAACGCGTAAGTATCAATTTACGTAAGGTTGTAGCGTAGCGTTAAGCAACGACACAAGTTTAACGTAAGATAACACGTAAGCATTGATTTACGTACGATTTCGCGCAACATCACTACGTGAATGGACAACGCCACAAAGCATTCTTGTACATTACATTACCACAAAACACAAAGAATATTGCCAACAAGAAGCGTTACGCTAGACAAATGTAAGCTTTTAACGTACCTGAACATCGTCTATGGCTTTGATTAGAGCTTCAAAGACCTTAGGGAATGCGTTCCATAGCGAGGGAGAGTCTTCCCGTATCATTTTAAGCACRTCTATCAAAGCAGCTCGTTTGTCTTCCATTTTATCGCTCGATGGGTCGTGTAAGGGACTTATTAACGACTCGATTCCGGTATTGCCGTCTAACGATACATTGCCTACGGATGAAACATCGATAGTTATTACATTGACATTTACGTCTGAAAATTTACGTTTATTCTTCATTTTTTTTTTTGTTGTTGTTGTCTACCATCCGATTGAATGATGGTCCAACTGTCTACTTTAACTGTTCGTATGTCCGTTTGTCACAACGTAGATCGTGGCATTTACCTCTCTCAAACTGACTGTCTGTGATTTCCATGCCTTCAAGTGACCGATCTAATTCGTCTTCTTCGTTTGTTTTCGTTTTTTTCCCGGTAGCAAATCCATTCAGCTCAGGCAGCTATAACAATACAATGAACGATTAAAAGAATCAAAAGAGTTTACATTTACAGTAGAACCTRGTTATTTCGACCACTGAAGGGACGTATTAACGGGGTGGCCATATTAACCGGGCATAAAAGTACTATAAAGATATGAATATGAAGACCGCATGGCACTATGATAAACACGATATAGAAATGATAGAAAGTTATAGTGCTTAGAAGGAGGCAATTCCGGGAGAAGTCCCTTAGGAATAAATTCGGAAAAATTGTAGCTCAGCTGGTAGAGCATCGGTGTACAATCCGAAGGTCGTGGGTTCGAATCCCAGCGAGGTCGGAAATTAATTTTTCCGAATTTATTCCTAAGGGACTTCTCCCGGAATTACCTCCTTCTAAGCACTATAACTTTCTTTCATTTCTATAAAAGTACTATGACATTTTATTAGCCGGGATCTAACATTCTGGCCATTATAACAGAGTGGCCGTATTAAGCAGGTGTTCGTAATGCGGGGTTCAACTTTATTATGGATACAATATCTTACTGGATGAAAGTCGTTCTGCGAGTCCTGATACTGCTTAGGGTCATAATCGTGACCAGGTGTTTTCCTAGAAGTACGAGGTGACGTCAAAGCTGCAACGTCACTATGKACACTATTGACGTCATCACTAGTATATCCCGAAGATACACTCGGCGCGTCCTCGTGAGGGTCCACRTGGTCTTGTTTGCTGGTTTTACGAAGTCGAAAAGGCGAGCTTTGTCGATTTTCATACGAGTCGCTATCACCGCTATTTTCACGGTGAATCGGGGAGTGGTTAGTYTTTGGGGAGAAAGARAACTTTGCCTGGGTGCGTGGGCTCTGSATKGCTTTGATTGGAGTCTTTGACTCTGYAGGGTCATTGTAATCTGCAGAAGCYGAAGGAACGTCTCTWGGTTCRTCGTCTTTAGGAGGYARTCCTTTTAATGAGTTCGACGACATACTGCGATAGCCTAAGCGTAGTTTTGGTCGATCGGGTGACGTAACGKTACTGTCTGTTTCATCATAACTTGTAGTGAAGCCACGTGTTGTTGGAGAGCCTCTCGATGCTGTGATTGGCTACAATCAACAGTGTATTTTTTTAATATCACTAATATGAAAACAAAGCCACAAAACCGAGCGATTTATCAATAGTACCTCTGTTCCTTGACTTGTGCTTTTGAGGTGACTATGGAGTAGCTTTGTAGCACCATCCTRAGACAGCGTCAAATAATGTCAGTTAAATTAGGGGGAAAAGGAAATAACGACAAACAAATCAACAATTACAGACACTGAGACAGACAATCCAGAGCTACTACACCGACAAACAAACAGAAAAAAGACCGTGTAGAGGGAGACAGACAGATAAAAGTCCACGCTGAGAGTCAGACAGTCACACATACGGCAGTATAGACAAAAAGACAGTCGATAGATTGATATGTGGCATACATGTACCTGGAATGATTTCGGTAAAACTGATAACATCATAGTAAACTCAGGGGTGTTCAGCTCAAACAATGCAACTATCACRGCAGCTGACTCCTGTAAAAAACGACGTCTGATAAGAGGATGTTGATAAGATTATGATTATGATAGTGATTACCAACCTTACGAACTTCAGCACTTTTTGGTTCAGTAGTCCAGGATATGATTCTAGACACAGCTAGACGAGTTTCTGTTACGTAATTAAGAAAAACTAAAACGTAACAACGCGTAACCGTAACAACGCACTGATAACAAAGCAGGAAAAACACAAGAAAACGTAAAAAAATTAGCACCAAATCATGATATAAAAAAACATGAAATTCCGTCATGCAGCATTGACGCGGATCGCTGTCAAAACGTAACAAAGCATAACGTAGCATTTCAAAACCTTAAGAGACTCATAAATCACGTTATGTGAGCCCACGGAAACGTAACACAGCTTGCGTATAACGTAAAGTAATCACAMGTTGGTAAAGGATACCACCAGAATTAGTGAAGTCACTTGGATCCATTAGTGATATAAGACCTTGAAGATATTGTAGTACAGCTATTTTGACCTACAAAACCATTACATATAATGGTCAGAACTTAAAACACTAGGAATATCTATTAGAATGTAAATCAGGGCGATGAAAATACGATGTTGGACATCCCGAACAATCCACCGGTTTCTATACGAAACTAGTCTCACCMGACTGACCTAGTTCTAGAACCTTCTTGAAGATGTTGTCGAAGCATTTTTTTGATCTGCCCATGAAAGGGTTCAATAATCTTAATGACATCCTCGGAAACCCTGGTCCATTTTAGTTCTGTGCTTCCGAGGATGTGTAGTGTGTTGTCTACTTTACCTTTAAATTAGGAGTTTGCGTCTGATCGGTGATAAATCGCGTAAGAATACTAAACTGCATGTCGTATGGAAATGAATCTCTGCAAAAACAGAAATCGTTACATCGTTAGCAATCAGGTTGCTGGCTTTAGAGTGGGCGACGAAAGGCGCTATGGTTACACATTGTTGTCAAATAAAACAGACAAACAAACATTTAAAAAACAACAAATATTCCGAGATGCAGAAATGCTTTTACCAATAACGCCAGCACACTCACGGCAACATGGTATTTTCGGGAAGAACATTATATACCATTCTCATGCACAAGCCTGCGATATTATGAAAAATGCTCGCGCATCTCGAAAACGTCCATTTTGACTTACCGTACGATGTCTAACACTCGAACTACTTTAGACTGGAGCGAGTTCAGCATATCTGTACCGAGTTTTGAGAGAAGCCTGGAGAGGAGTATAAATAACCAATCTTGGATGTCTATTTTATGAACTACGATGAACTCTGCCAAAGCATCCATRAAAGAACTGTACACCTAATGAAAATACAAGTTTAATACTAAAGAAATAACATACAGGCACAACCTCGCTKATTTGCTTAGATACGGAAAATCATCATTTTTCAACCAATCAGAAAGCAACGTTCAACAACAGATCATTTTTGTAAAGAAACAAACGGTCTCAAAGCTTCTCGGATACAGATGGGCTTTTACATTTTAATAAAATAAAACAGCTTTTTATGAATAAAAGATTTCTCACTTATAAAGTCTAAAAAGGCAGGTTTATGTGTTTGYGAAGGCCATGCAAAAATCGCCAGCGATAAGTCGTTTCTTGAACTACARAACTATTTGAYAGCTTTATGAGATAAATGTGAAAACATTCGACATATCTCTAATTCTAACAGTTCTTAAATTTACCCAAAACAGACGGGACACAAAGCAAGCTACAGAAATATTATAATTAACTTTTGACTCTTTGTTTCAGTTTGAACAAAGTTATTTGTTTACGTAATAACACCGCGGTACAATTACACGAAGAATGAATAAAGTTATGTCCGGTTATTAACCATTCATTGAATAGGTTCACTTTGTGAATAGGSAACCTTAGATAGCCAATCTTTGGATAAGGRTTAAACTACGCGAGCTAAAACCAMGATTTCTGTACTATTAGTCGTTTTATCTTGTGCCTCGATGACAAGTGATTCAAMCAAGGCCGGGAAATTTTAATTGCTGGTAAMATTAGTCAATTAATGAGTACAGTACACTCAAGAGACAAAAGAAAACGWTAATAAAGCGCCGAAACAACTAGAAAAGACGCGCTTCTTTCATTACCTTATTATGGGGGTCAAAAAATAGTCTTGTAAGACAATCTTTGACCTTAGACAGCTCTAAGTCACTGAAAAAATAATCAAAAATACACAATTTAGGAATGCAATGTTGCATTAGATTTTTTTTTTAAAGTTTAGAAATATCAGTTGTCATAGTGTTGGCAAATAGACTCTCTTACCTCATTACTCGAGAACTCTTGAGGAACACCAACAACGCACTTACACCATCTCGTCTGTCTGTCCAAGAGTTGTTATTATTGCATAAACGCACAATCTCCGATATTTCCTGATAAGAATAAAGATAATATCCTATATTAGCGCACACAATCAAGAACCCACCATTATCAACACACGCAATTCAATGGTTTGTATTCTGTATTTTGGCAAAACAAGTATTCTTAATTAAAACATTTTTCTTGATATGGAAAAAGTAGGGTTTAGTAGGGTTACCTTCAGCTTGGACTACCCTTTACGAAAGAAATATTCAATACTTTTTTTGRCATGGTTGAGCGTTTTCTAGACAAGTTGATTTGACCTGGCTAGATGGTCCACCCTTACTGATAGAGTTACCAAGCTATTAATAGGGCACGTTTTGTTCATCCCTTATTCAGCCAGGTTAAAGATACACCTTTATTCCAAGAGAACGCTCGCGWTGGTGATTAACTCTAAAATAGAGGGATAACATTTTTTCCATGTAACTGGAACGCAATTCGAAAAAAAATTGTACTGACGCAAAGATACAATTTTAGGAGTAATCAATATCATGTTCACCGACGCTTGGGACTATAGCACAAAGAGTGTAACAATGACAAACAATTCGAACATGAAAAAGCCGCGACATCGAAAAAGATAATATTGTCAAATTCGGTTCATTTTCGGCATGTTTAAATCACCGAATGTTTTCTAATGTATACATAGTAGAGAACAACACGACATTTCGCAAAGCGAAAATACAACAAATTTACCACAAGAGAAGGTCTGAAACTATTTCTGAATAGAGCCTGACATATCCGTTTAAGCTTCACTACTGGGGGTGAATTTAATTGTTATTCTGATTCATCTCTTAAGAAAAGGAATCTTGATTAATTAATTTATTATGATTAGAATCAACTAGATGCAGTTTTGATCGAAGTAACACAACATGGATTAGCTTGCTATTTGTTTACATAAAAATAATTTAGTATTTGGTAACAGGATTGATAGGGATTTCAATTTTGACACATTTTAGTAATAAACACGAATAATTACACCATGGCTGCTTAGGTATTCCAGCTAAGCCATACAGGAAAGATTTTACTCCGATTTTCAGCTCATTGCACTACTTGAAAGACTCATAAACGACAAAATAAATARCATAGAGAGCAAATTCAATACTGAAAAGCATGTAATGACACTGCAGGGGAAAGACAAGTCACGCGATTGTGTACATTTATAACTAACTAAAATATTACAAAACACAGCKTTCAAATTTACAAATACCAGYGCCGCGCGAAAATTTATAAAAATAAATCAAAAGCATAAWTTTTTCGACATTAGACAACACTAGACCAAGATTTTTACATAAGAATCGATCAGAAATATAGGTTTGTAGAATAGCAAGTAGTTAAAGCGATAAACTATTTTATGACAATATAATTCAACTATTGGCTTGTTTCCTAGAAACGGTCGATCTTCGTCTGTAGAAAAGGTAAAAACAAGATGATTATTGAGGTGTCTCAATGGACATATTTCCACATCGAATCTGACTGTTTTTAATATTATCAAATGGCTTAAAAAGACACCGTTTATCGATCTAAAATCGCTTTCTAGCCGAAATAACCGAATTTCGCTCAACTTTAACTTCGCATCATCAGTGATTCTAGTGTAAAGGTCACACTCACTTTTAGGTTTAATCGATTTTTACTTTGCTACTAAACTCTAAGTACAAAACTTAACCGCAGATGTTGGTTGTTATAAGAATAATACTAATCCTTACCCGTCGAAAGAGCGAGTATCTCGACTGCTCCGGCGTGTGATAGCGAATGCCTTTTCGACGACAGTGCTTAAACCATAACCATTCTTCGACTGGATTTCCAGGATAAATGTTCAAAAACGTAAAACAGTTGTGAAATATAAACCTCCATCGCTGACAAGGTTGAATTTGTTTGCGACGGTTCTTCAACGAAACCCGTCGATCCCACTGCAGCATTTTTATCCAAAACATTAGGAAAATACGATGTTAAGTCATCGATACTTGACGAATGATACAGAAAGACTTCCTTTAGRTGACCAAAGTGACTTTGTATCGCAAACTGGTGCAACTCGATATCGTTCCATTGACCAAAGTGAACTTGACAGCCGCGTTGAACGAGAGAAAGGTTGAAAGGACACAGCAAAATAAAATTCTCATGATTTATTCATGAGCTCAGCTTGATAGCATATAAATATAGCACAGCCRAGGATCGATCATATTGAGAAAGAAAAACCACGGCATAAAAAATAACGAAAAAGCGTCTATTTCAAATGAAGWAAAAAAAWTTTAATGAGAGAGAAGGAAACAKATTTGGTGGTCATTAATAAAATCGACAAAACAGAAAAATAATACAATCTAGAGTGCATATATTATACGTCGACAAAGATGCAATGATCAAGAYTTGTTTACGAAATCACTCGATGTTCAATACAAATATATTTAGTCAGGTACCGGTTGAWTGACATTGAGTCGCGATGGGGGTCGGACATGGGACAGTGATTAACAAGAAAGGCACCCCACAGCTTTATCAATACCAAGAAGGCCACTGATATAAAAACGTCTKCTTAAAATAAACGTTTACAAAATTTAAATTTATAATTGGCGGACAAAAGATCAATCTAAARTGAAAACTTGATATTGATGACGAAAAAATATTGACCATTAAAAAGTCAAGAAAACGTGACACYTTTCTTATTTCTTGTATATACAGTATACTGTGGCCCAATATTGACGCTGAAAATAATATGAACTAGATATTTGACCCAAACAGGCATTAAGTTTCGACCTGGTTTGACGATTATTTGCGTCACCGATAGATAGCATTTTCTTTGAGATATTCAACAATAAATAAATAAACCAATTATTATGAAAACGTAGCATACGTTCCWACTGCTTTCCATGTACAATCTCATGATCTGATGTCAAAGCCGCCTTTGTAAAAAAATAGAAACGTGTTTTTTTTTTTATTCAAAGCCTGGAGGTAAGACCACAAAAATACAGCGATCACCTGCTTCAATGAAACAAGAGCCATCGACTACCATCATCCTTAACGCGTCTGTATTTGTTTTGAGAAATAAAAACTTTCAGTAGAATTTCTTCTCAGAAAGAAAAGTTAATGGATCATAAAAGTTAGTAGTTGTTTTCATTAGCCCGGAGAATAWTTTTTTAGGTTACTAAACTTTATTGCTCCTTGCTTTGCATGTGAATATTGCACTTGGATTCAAGGGTGAATTAAAACCGCTCTAGGAATAAATTAAGCAAGATTACGATGTATGAAAGTTGGTGTCAGGTTTTTTATAATTCTCTAGACAAAGAGTTTTTGATAAAACAAATAATGAAAAACACAATTGCAATATTCACAGTATTACAACAGTACGACTATAACATTTCAGCAATTTAAAGTAATACCAAAATACGCAACAAGATCAAGCGGAAATAGATAAGAAAATGAAACGAAAACAACGAGGAAAAAAACAATTTAAAAACCACTCGACACGATCGCCTAAAAACATGCAATGCTCAAGGGCAAGGATTCGCCCAAGTTCTACTCTACCATCCTAGCCACAGGTAGCCCAATTTATCTAAAAAACTGTACTTACATTCCCAGGTTCAGCTCGACCAAGGGTTCGGTTTCCTCTTGTCCCTAGGGATCTTTCCGAGCTTCCGTTGTCACTATCAGCGTCATCGTCAGAACCGTGTGAGTTGGTTGAGCCAAACGAGTACTTTCTGCGAGCTGGACTGCGATGCTGACAAAAGACAAACACGTGTCAATCATCAGTAAATATCACGTGACCAGCAATCATTACAAGTGAAGGATTCTTACCCATGAGTCCCAGACGGCAGCTTCAGTAAGACCGGCTTCTTCGTCTTCTAGCTGTTGTTGCTTGCTTCGCGTTAGAACAGGATCTTTAATTAGAAAACGAAAACATTAATCCATGATAACGTCTTTCCGTTATAAGCCATTATCGCAAAAAATCAGTGTAGATGGGTCGTGAAGCAATGTAAAAATCATCTAYTGATATTAACTACAAATCACTTTAATCATGTCCTTACTTTGTATATTAGATCTCTTTAATACGGGCAATTGCGTAGGATTATAGCCCTTGCCATCGCTTGTTCGTCTCCTCAGCGGATCAGGACTGGGATCTCTACTTGTACCRCGAGAGCTGGACCGTGAACTTGCCCGGGAGCTGGACCGCGAGGACGTTCGAGGTCGACTAAGAAAATCAACATTTATTTAATACTGTCTAGTCTACTGATGAACTCAAAATATGCATTATCAAAGCGATAATTTAGCGGGAAAAGTATGTGCGCGCTGGTAACCAGAAGGAAAAATTATCCTCCATTTTCCTTAAATCCATGCAATTTGTTTAATACAAGAAACTTTTATTAATCACTTGAAGCAGTTACACTGAAAATACGAAGCAATATTCAACCTTGAACCTACGAAGTGAAAAACGATAAAACGGAAGAAAGATCGTTACCCAACCAAGAATAGAGTTCTTCTGAATAGAGAGCCAGTCTGGTCAAGTAGTTTGTCATACAGAGTTCTACAATAGAATTGGCTTCTCAAGAAAGAAATGAGAAGCGGAGCTACTCACAGACGAGGAGAAGAAGGCGCTTGAGGATAGCGATACAAGTCCAGAGGAGAAGAAGGCGGAAGAAATTCGAAGCTGCTGTAATACCTACACAAGACACATAGAAGACAAGAAAAAAAAGCTATCGAAAGTATGTGGTGGTAAGATGAAGAGTCCAAGAATTTAAATCATGTACGATGACGAAGGATAGGGACGTTATCAGTTGAGTTCGTGGATCGCACGAATACGTAAATGTAGACGACAGAAAGAAGATAAGAATGACCTTCGGTGGAGAGTATGATAGAATTCCCATGACATCAAATGCATGATATTTGAATGGGAATCATGAATGAATATAGATGAAAGCTCACAACGACCTTGTATAGAATAAGCCACGTTCAGCCCAGAAATGTAGACATTGAATGGAAAGAATGGATGAATAAATGAATGAATGGCGAGAAAAGGACTGATTGGATAGCAGAACTAAAGATGTCGTTGGCCTCGATGAAAGTCAACTTGTTCATACGAAAAACAAAAAGACTTAGGAGCAAAAAGCTCAAAAGCTCATGATAATTGCACATCAAAAATAAAGTTTATCATCAAACAAAATGTTTAAAAAAAAGAACATTGATAAATGATAATTAAAGCAGCGGTAACGAAGACAACAACAACAGCAACAACAACGAAAGAACTAAAAGCATGTGGTTACGTAAATGGACGTTCACGTACATGGTGTATRCTGTATGGTCGATGAYATTTAATCAGCCTTACCTCGGGGTAGGTATCTTCGATTTGGTAGGACTAGTGCCATGGACAAAAGCTTCCGTGCGTTCYTTTGGTATGACACGATCGGGAGAATGGGAACGACTTGATGCTAAAATGACAAAAATAAAGACTTTTGTGAGACAACCAGCCTTTACTTTTGATATTCTGGGATGAGTAGACATCCTCGAAAGACAAGGTTTGGTAGGGGAAATAATATCGTAATTACTCATTCCGGGATTCATGTGGTTAAACATAGTACAAATGTGGATTTTCTATGTAAAACATCAACAACAGCAACATTAACAAYATCAGGAAAAACAACAATAGCAACAACAACAACAGCAACGTCAACAACTGCAACAGCAACAACAAAAAAATGATTATAAATGAATATAAATATAGCCCATTGCGTTAAACTTACGTTGAGATACGTAACCACGCGTTGGAAATTGCGATCTTCCTTGTCTAGCATGAGGAGGAGACGGAGGTCTAGTAGCGGTTGCTCTGGCCTTTGCTCGTCTTGACGCTCGCTCAGCAGCGCGTGAGTCGATATGGCTTAGTGAACGTCCATAATTAGACATTGTTGTTAGATTATAACCTGAACTAGCTGTACCACGTGCACTGGATATTCTTGATGCTATAATCAATCAATCAATCTTAATTAATATATAACTAATCATATTACCCAGCCACGTGGCATGTGTTACCTTGGGTGTGGTTAGTTCTGCTCACCCCTCCTGTCGTCATGCTACGAGTTGGTGCACTTCCAGTTCTGCCACTAGTAATCAAGTATAAGCATTAACAACAAAGTATATTATTCTATGATACCATAATGTATTATTACTATCAACAAATATTTTACCCTGTTGCTCCATCTTCGCTTTGCGTACTTGCCGTTCTTGGCCGAATACTCGACGTTGTCTTAGTTTTATTGACGGGTGCAGCTCTACCTGATGTAGCCTTAACAGCTCCTGACATATGACGATCATTTTCTAGTTGTTTTTGTTTCGTTGGGTCTAATGATTTCAGGATGCTGCAAAACAAGAAGACAGTTTGGATACTTAGATACAATTTGCTTACATTTCTCTGTACAGTTCCTTACAACATTTCGCTTTAAAACTCGTGAGGACAAGCCCTACGTTTCGTTACCGTTCAAGGATAAGACTGCTTGCATAGTCTTGTAATACTATCTACACAGGTGAAATAGTGAAAAGCTAATTGTATCGCTTATAGAAAATATTCCCAGTCTTCTTGTCAAGTCACTTTACTAAGGAACTTTAGTGATATTTTTGTACGATGTTCATCAATGCAGTCAACCATGTGGGATCAGCTGAGGAAACATATAGGAGCATGCGCTATGATAGCCTGTATACTTCCGAGAAGAACAATMGGGGAAGAGCTGGGGAATGGATGTACGGACTAGTGTATAAATAACAATAAATGSACTTACTTTTCTGCTTTGTCGGTGAAATGGCTGTGATAAGACCAAAAAACCCTAAAGAATATATCAGCAGATTATTAAACACGAATGAAAACATCCTGATAATTATTACATATCAAAATGCTCAAGTCTTAGAGCATCATGGGTGCAGCAGCTCTCCTCCTTGCTCCCTCTCGGCCAAAACAAGTAGATTAGATRCAATATTTAACAACCTTCTGGTAATAGCTCGGACTTCTGAATCAGCATCTGATATCCCTCTACGAATACAGTCTTCCAATTCTGAGAGATGCCTATCAAAACATGACAAGAGTCAACAGCAGTGAAGGGAAGAAAAGGAAATGGGAAAAGGCATAGGGGGAAGAGAAGGAAAGAGAACACGTTTAGGATGGGAAGAGGGAAAAGGAGGTACAAAGGGAGTAGAGAAGGATGGTAGAAAGGGAAGAASGAAAGTATGGGAGGGAGGGAATAGACAGCTGGAAGGGAAGGTATGGGAGTAATTATAAGACAGAAACAGGGAAGTATAAATAAAGAAAAAAGAAAATGGGAGGAGGTAAAACATGACTTACCCTTTAATKGTGTGGGTATCCCAAGTTTCTAATACTAGTAACAGTTTACTAGCAATATGCCTGCCACAGGAATATAATAATAGRTTAATTCATAGAGTTTCCTTATATAACCTTTTTACCCTTACTCATTCCACTAACACTATTCAGAGATATGCTATAATATTGTTTATAAGACCTACCGTCTAATAACACTGGACTTGGAAGTTACATTATTGGCTAATATTGAAATGAGTCGCCGAGAATGCGTATTCTGTAAAGGATAAAAATTYAAGAGCAGAAATAAATAAATTTAAGGATGACAATAATAATGGTAAAACACATCATGAGGATGTCAAGTTCTTTTCTAAGTGAGTACACCACTAAATACGACAACAATCAACATGTGTTTTMTGTCAAYCAGAATAGCAGTTATTACTTTAATAGACCTTTTTGCATGAAACTGTCACATGGTATTAAATCCACCTTACTGGACGGCAAAAGAATGAAAACAGCTTCAAAAACAAAAGGAATGCCGTCTGTCAAACTTGACTCTTCTTTGTTGTGAACATCCCAGTCKGTATTTTGCCATCCAGCATGGTGGATTRATCATTTTATGCAAAAGACCTATTAACAGCAAATTATGGGAAGGTGTGTAAGGTAAACTTTATTCAACAATTCAAACAACATACTTTTAATATAATACAAATGCAGGCATCTCCTGATGTTGCCATAACCTGAAAAAACAAGTCTACTTAGTGGTGCATACTGAAAATGTGATGGTATAAATGTTCTATTCTTTGAAAACTGAGACCTTATTTGGAAATCATTGTACGTACCTTTGCACTATTTGGTAATAAGTTAATTAGAGAGGGAAGAACAGCTTCTGCAGTGTGTTCAAACTGATTACGAAGATGAGTTGACAGAAAACTAWAAGCAATAGAAAGATAAACATTATATCATAAACTTGTATCATGTCATCTGCAATGAAGAGATTTCTCACCTGAGAGTTATACACGTCTCTCTTACTACTGATGATCTGAGATCTTTTGCCTGTGATGATAACAAAGCTTGTTTTAACTTAGTCATTGCAAAATATAATCACATACAAGTATATCAATTAACTAATCAACTAATGAGTGAAATGCTTTCACAATGTCACTATAAACTTACTTATGAAAATATAAAATACTCACATAGGACCTTCACTGCACTTACATTGAGTTTAAAAGCACCTTCCATGGATCTGATGAATGTTGGAAAGCTATCATGCTCCATAGCACCAGCCCGTATGAGACTACGAATCCTCTTGAGCTAGAAAACATTGGAATCACTTCAGTATGCTACAGTTATACAGCAAAAGAAAAAAAAAAAAAAAGGAAAAAAAAAAAAACACAACACAACACAGCATAAGACAGCACAGCACAGCACAACACAACACAGTACAAAACAACACAACACTATCTATCTGTGCCTGCTCAAATACAAAGATCTATGATATAACTTAGCAAGAAGCACTTACCGAAACTATTCTTTGCTCCCAGTCAATTTTGTCATCAGACAAAACATTTTGTATTTTAGCTAAATCTTCATTAAAATCTTTATTGGAGTAAATCTAAAAGACAAATGAAAGCATTAATGCATGCAGCCTGTTTGAACTGATGAACATTGTAAATAAGCTCACTAACCCGAACATCAGGGCAGTCTTCATAAGAATTGACAAAATCTGTTTCATCAACAGCACCAGCGGCAGTAGCTAGAATATAACATTAGGATTATTGTAAGCATACATCCAAAAAATGTTATCATGAAAGTAGTAATTGCTGACAAACCTGAGTCTCTTCCAGTACCTTTTGTTCCACTGACTTTCCTACCTGGCGTCTTCTTAGCTGATGTCCCTCTTGTTGGGGCAGTGGATGACTGAAACAAGAAACATAAATTACTATCTATTCCACAGGCAGCCCAACCATTTATAAGGAACAAGTAAATTTCTATTATGGATATGTATTGAAAACGTTTTTTTATGCAGCTGTTTAACTTAACTTTCTTTATGAGAAAACTCAGTGATCATTACAGTAAGGACACTCAGGCTTAGCTAAAACCACACAGAATACTATAAAACCAGACTTGATTGAACYGATAGCAGAATTAACCAATCAAAACACACTGTTCTCAATCACATTATCTTGACCTGAAAGCTGCAATGTGATTGGTTACAGGTACTCATCAAATTGGCTAAAGGATCCTAGTTGGAGTACTGTCGTCACTGTACCCTAACAGGTTGAACTGCTTTAAAAATTATGGGATGGTAATTAAAAGGAGAGAGTATCATGACAGAAAAATGTTTGATTAGGGCCGTAGCAACCAGTTTGCTTGGTTCTTCCTCATAAAAACATAGAAACTTTTGTGCTATATAAAAGCTGGATGATATGAAAACTTATGGCTACAGCCATGAAGGCTATAAATATAGATCATTTGTATTACCTTTGACTCATTACTGATATCTCCATTGACTCTTGGCAGTCCTGAAACATGAAAAGAACGCAACAATAAAATCATAACAAAAAAAAAAAACAGTAAATAATATCATTTGATCTAAATTAGTTTTGATTTTTTGATATACAAWAATAAACTGTTAAATTTATCTGACCACATTTTTTTACTTTCATCTTTCACWATCTGAAACACAACTGACTTCCTATGTATAAATCATTGTCACAAGCCTT